GACTAAAGGGATTGTACATACATATGTGATTTTATTTCGTTACTTCAAAAGAAGTAAACAAAAGATCAAATGATTCATGAATTTTGAACACATGCTTATGTTTTGAAATATATATTTTTTTGTTTATGAATTGCTTCGGCTTTTAACATAAAACGATAGAAAGTAGCTTATGCTCGTACCGAGGTTCCAAGCTAACTCATCACCAAATTCCCTCCAAATCCGTTTAGCTACTTTTGTGTTATAAATATAGACATACATATGTACATATGTAAATTGCGAAATAGAGGGTGATTTTGCAAAAAAGACCACCGTTAGGACCTTCTTCAGGACTAAAGGAATACACGTGCAAATTTCCACGTCTCTTCATGCTGTAGTTCGGGCGTAATGCGCGACTGTACAAAAGATTACTATAGGAACATATTTCTCAAATAATTCCGTAATAGTTTTATTAAAATTAGAGATACTTAATTCAATATTTCCGTATAGTCAGCCGTATAAAGTTCCCTATTCAACTTTCAAAGTTGGCTTTTACAAATCGATCGATCGATGATTTTGTACAACAGCTATACGCTGTAGTGATTCAGTCTGAACAATTTCTTAGGAGATTTTTGATATTATCCGTTACAAATTTCGAAAATATCTCGTAAAAAAAATTCGATATATGAACTTAATTTTGATCCTTCAGTTTGTCGGCAGATAAGACCAATGACCAGCTTCTTCTCAAACAAGGATGTATGCGAAATTTCAGAGCGATTACTCAATAATTAAGGGCAAAGCTAAATCTCGTCGAATCGTTTGTGATTTATATATTTTACTGGATCGTCGGCGTTTCCTTCTGGATGTTATAAACTTCGTGGCAAACTTAATGTACACTATTCAGTGTAAACATATAGCGAACTAAAGGGCTTATACTCTAGTTCATGCTTTGTGCATTTTAATATTTGACAGATGTCGCTTGCAGTCCGTCGCGCTCTACAGGGTGTCTGATGAAAGCCGCTACCAAAAAAAATTAAATAACTTTTTTTCTATTTATTGAATCTGGCTCATTTTTATTTTATTTTGCAGATTGACTTTTACATTTAACAAAAGTGGATAACTGGGACACTGTTTCGACAAGAAGCGTATCTGTTCAAATGGGTGTAAGCAGACAGTCATTACAGTCAATTATGCACAAAGATTTGGACTTATTCCCATATAAAAT